CAGGAAAGCATTGTATCCTTCCTTGTGTGAAGGCTTTTGTTTGTCTTCCTAATGATGATGAAGAAGAGATTGGATTTATACCCCGCCCTTCACTTGGAGTCTCAGGGCGGCTTACAAACTCCTTCCCCTCCCCACAACAGGCACCCTGTGAGGTGGGTGGGGCTGAGAGAACTCTGACACAAACTGCTCTTTCAGAGCTGTGCCAGAGCTTGTGACTAACCCAAGGTCACATCAGCAGGTGCAAGTGGAGGAGTGGGGAATCTCGGTTCTCCCAGATTAGAGTCTGCACACTTAACCACTACACCAAACTGGATGTGATTGATGTGCCCCACGGTCTTGTTAAGCCCTCTTTCAGAGTGTAAAATTAAACCTTGAACATTCGATGCTTAAGAAGGGGCAGCTGTAAGTATACTGAAACATCCTAAAGCACATTGCTGCGCTAACATTTAATCAGTGTTGCACTAATAGGCTGGTGAAAAGGATGATGATCAGGATCGGTGATTTCACAAGACAATGTGGAGCTTTTGGGAGAAAGCTGTTTATGAATTGTTTAAAATTAAATCTAATTATTACATCAGGCTCTCCATCTCACTGTATTTAAGGTGATGGCCAAGAGGCTAAAGCATGAATCAGGATGTCCCATTTTAGGATTTACAATACCATGATGAACTTAGGCAACTTAGCTTCAACTTTTCCCACCTACCCAAGGGAATGACACTGGACTACCTTACTGGCTTCTTGTAAGGACTGCAACAAAACGTGTCTGAAATGCTGCATTTATCAATTATCTATGAATGAAATTTGGAGTTAAAATCCTCTAATGTGTTTGCATTCTGAAAATGATATTATAGAATATCATGCAAAACACTGTCAGCAGAGCGGAAAGCGGTCACAACTTCGTTGAGCTAAAACTGATAGCTGGAAGTGGTGAATTTCTTGGAGATACTATGTAGTCAAAGCCACTGGTCCTGTTATTTCTCTGTGGTACAAATATAGAACACAGGAAGCTGCCTTATCCTGAGTCAGGCTATTCATCTATCAAGGTCAGTATTTTCTGCTCTGATTAGCAGCAGCTCTCCAGAATCTTTTAAAGGTCTTTTTCATCACATACTACCTAATCCTTTTTAATTGGAAATGCTGGGGACTGAACTTGGGACCTTCTGTGTACAGACCAGATGCTCTGCCGTTGAGGCATGGCCCTATTCCTCAACTAAGAAATGTAAAGTCAATATCAAGAGCAAGAAAAGTATCCACCACCCCCACCCCCCGCGCAATGTGGTTGACATAGCACGTTGAGAAGTTTGGTGGCAGGAAAGGTGTAAAGGGATCGGTCAGGTTAAATGTCGAATGACTTGGGCTCTGGGTTGTGTTTAAATTGAGGATTCTCTTACATAGTGCAAAGAAGGACATAAATAGTTTCAGGGTGGTCTGTAACTCCTCTAGCAGGCGAACCAGACAGGGAACAGCTCTGTTGAGAAAGCCGTTGAGCCGAACTGAGAGCAGAATTGTATGGCTCATTTTTTTTTAAATTAATGTTTAAAACTTTATAAAATATTGGACACAAAAATGAAGAACACTCGATTTCCAAACATAGGACATGTAGCCAGGTGGCATGTTTTGCATGGAGTAAGCAGAGTATTGCACGGTTACTGAATAAACTGAAAATGAACTTGTGCATGTTGGGTCAGGCTGTAGACTCACCAGATAAGAGCTTTCCATGGAAACGAAGGCTGGGTGAAGTGGAAGTGATTACGATTCTCTTTGTATATAAATAATTTTGTATTATGTTTTATATATTTAAACTTGTATAGAGAATGTATACTGGGTGAAAAACTTGGATACTCCAAATGCAACCTCTGGATGCTGCAACCTAATAGTGTCTTGCGATACAAACTGGATAGAGGAGGGGATTTTATTCTTTAGCCTTTGAAAATAGGATATTTCCAGTTTATGAAGGTGAAATAGTGCATGGCGTTCTATGGGAGCCACTCAGGTATGTTTCTCCATGCAGACAAGGAAATATGGCCCCATATTGAAAGTTTAGGAGAATTGAATGGTAGATGATGCCTTGGATGTCCAGGACTTGTCAGCACCACTGCACTTTCAAAAAATAAATCTTCACTAGTGTCTGGACTCCTGTGTCTTAATTGTACTGCTAATTTGTATCCAACGAATTTAATGAATGAGGCTCTCTCCAGTTTGTTGCTATCTGCTCCAGGAGTTTGATGAAGCTGCTAAAAGGAATTCTAAAACTAGAATTTCAGTTGACAGTGCTGCTTTTTTATAAATGAATCGTATCCGGGGGATGAGTGCTCATGCACCCATGCCCGTTTCTATCACACCACCATAACCTTAGCAGCAGTGTACCCTTACAGTAATTAGGGTCTAGCAAACAACAGCCAATATGGTTAGTGTTGGACTAGGATCTGCTATGAAAGTTTACTGGGTGACCTCGGGTCAGTCACGCACACTCAGCCTAACCTGCCTCACAGGTTGGTGGCTCTAAAGATAAAGTGGAGGAGGGGAGAGCAATGTTACACACTGCTTTGGTTCTCCCTCCCCCCCTTTGGGGAGAGAAACAAGTTCTACATAAAAACAGCGCTAACACATGCTCCTCTTTCAACATCCGTTTTCTCCCCCATGAGGTTGTATGGGGTTTTTTTTATCTGTGCTTTTGAACTGTCAGACACCATCCAGTTGTTTATCATATTAAAAAATCCACAGCCTATGGAAGGGCAGTAAATGGCTCTAAGATGAGAACAACTGTGTGTGTGCTCAAAATTTATCCCAAATAAAGTTCAACCCAGAAAGAAGCTTAGAAGTCTACCAGCAACTGCAGTGGTAATAGGTGGAAGGCTGGGGAATAAGTTGAAGACATTTCATCTCAATATGTGTGTGTGGCTTTGAAAGAGCGGTGAAGTAATGATTTCAAGTTGTGTGTGTGCTTTTTTTTAAATGGTTGGTGTCAGTAGAAGGGGTGTGTGAAAGAGGTGATCGGTTGATGACCGAGTGTGGGTGGAGAGAAGGCAGAGTGCTCAGTTTGAAGTCAGAAGTCAGTAGCTACACAGAGTCTGAGAAGCAGTCTTCTAACTAGAATCATACAGAAGTGCTGTGAAAGGCATTGAGATTCTAAAGGAAGAAGAGCATATACTTAAGGGGGCATATTAGGCAAAATCTGATATAGTCAGAATATTTTAAGAGTGTGAGGGGAAAGGCTGACACAGACCTCAGTAAAAAAGGGAAAGATTTTACTGAGCAACTTAACAAAACATCTTGTAACCAATACACAATATAGTTACTGTTGGACTAGGATCTGCTATGAAAGTTTACTGGGTGACCTCGGGTCAGTCACGCACACTCAGCCTAACCTGCCTCACAGGTTGGTGGCTCTAAAGATAAAGTGGAGGAGGGGAGAGCAATGTTACACACTGCTTTGGTTCTCCCTCCCCCCCTTTGGGGAGAGAAACAAGTTCTACATAAAAACAGCGCTAACACATGCTCCTCTTTCAACATCCGTTTTCTCCCCCATGAGGTTGTATGGGGTTTTTTTTATCTGTGCTTTTGAACTGTCAGACACCATCCAGTTGTTTATCATATTAAAAAATCCACAGCCTATGGAAGGGCAGTAAATGGCTCTAAGATGAGAACAACTGTGTGTGTGCTCAAAATTTATCCCAAATAAAGTTCAACCCAGAAAGAAGCTTAGAAGTCTACCAGCAACTGCAGTGGTAATAGGTGGAAGGCTGGGGAATAAGTTGAAGACATTTCATCTCAATATGTGTGTGTGGCTTTGAAAGAGCGGTGAAGTAATGATTTCAAGTTGTGTGTGTGCTTTTTTTTAAATGGTTGGTGTCAGTAGAAGGGGTGTGTGAAAGAGGTGATCGGTTGATGACCGAGTGTGGGTGGAGAGAAGGCAGAGTGCTCAGTTTGAAGTCAGAAGTCAGTAGCTACACAGAGTCTGAGAAGCAGTCTTCTAACTAGAATCATACAGAAGTGCTGTGAAAGGCATTGAGATTCTAAAGGAAGAAGAGCATATACTTAAGGGGGCATATTAGGCAAAATCTGATATAGTCAGAATATTTTAAGAGTGTGAGGGGAAAGGCTGACACAGACGTCAGTAAAAAGGGAAAGATTTTACTGAGCAACTTAACAAAACATCTTGTAACCAATACACCACTTTTACCAATAAAGTTTTATCTTATTTATTGTTAACCCAGAGTCTTATCCTCAGAACCGCATAGTCCAATGAAGGAGCCTTAGAGCTTGGGCACAATACTGTGGGAAAAGTTAATTAAAGACTGGAATTAAATTCCTGGTGGCAGCGATAGATACTTTGAGTGAGAGAAAGAAACAACAAGAAATTTAAAACTACTTCGCACCTAACCACACAAAATAAAAGAGAGGTACCGTCACAGGTGACAAAAGGCATAATTGTGTGGCTGGGTGTTTATACCCTGGCTTTCTTCCATGGTAACTGAAAATAGCTTAAAATATCAAAATTGCAGTTATCAAACAAAATACCAGTTTTTAAAAGTACCAGATTAGACAGACTGATGGAGGATAGATGGCTATTGGCCATGGTGACTAAAGGGAATCTCCATGTCCAGAGGTAGCCTGGAGACCCAAGCCCTAGGAGGACAGGCCGAGGGACTTGGGAATGTTCAGTCTGGAGAGGAGGAGGTTGAGGGGGGACATGATTGTTCTCGTTTGAGTCTTTGAAGGGCTGTCCCTTAGAGGAGGGCAGGGAGCTGTTCCTCTTGGCAGCAGAGGGCAGGACTCGGAATAATGGGTTTAAATTAAGGACGGGGAGGTACCGGCTGGATATCAGGGAAAACTTGTTTACAGTAAGAGTTGTGCAGCAGTGGAATCAGCTGCCTAGGGAGGTGGTGAGCCCTCCAGAGGAATTGGTTGGCCACTAGCGTAGTGGTTAAGAGCAGTGGACTGGACTCTTATCTGGGGAACTGGGTTTCATTCCCCCCTCCTTCACATGAAGCCAGCTGGGTGACCTTGGGCCATTCACAGTTCTCTCAGAACCCTCTCAGTCTCACCTACCTCCAGGGTGGAATTACTAGGCATAGAACGGAAGTATAAATGAGGCCTCCCAAGATCCAATCATATGCCAAATGATATTTCACTGATATTAATTTCTGGTTCAGAAGGCGCCTTTCAACAGCTACTCAGTCCAAGCCAAAGTGTCCTCAATAAGATTTGCTAAAGGGATATTGTGCTATAAGCCAATTTGTTCCTCATTGTGCTTGGCCTTTGAAGAAGGTTCTGTTGTGTTTTAATTGTTGGCCCTCTACTCCGTTTGACTTACCTTTTCAGGTTCTCGATCCTGCTCAGACTGGCAGCAGCTCTCCGGGGTCTCAAGCGGAGGTCTTTCACATCACCTGTTATCCGATCCTTTTAACCAGGGCCGCGTTATGACTTTAACGGGCCCTAGGCACTTTTGCCTAGAAGCTTCTCTTGGGCTGCGATCACACAGACACTAAATAATCCACTTTCAATGCACTTTTGAATTGGATTTTGCCAGTTCACACAGTAAAAGAGCCAGTGTGGTGTAGTGGTTAAGTGCACGGACTCTAATGTGGGAGAACCGGGTTTGATTCCCCACTCCTCCACTTACACCTGCTGGATGACCTTGGGCAAGCCATAGTTGTGACACAGCTGTCCTTGAAAAAGAGCAGTTTCTGTCAGAGCTCTCTCAGCCCCACCTGCCTCACAGGGTGCCTGTTGTGGGGAGGGGAAGGGAAAGGCGTTTGTAAGCCGCTCTGAGACTCCTTTGGGGAGTGAAGGGCGGGGTATAAATCCAATCTCTTCTTCTTCTTCTAAAATCCAGTTGTAAAGTGCATTGAAAGTGGATTATTTAGTGTGTGTGTGTGTGTGTGTGTGTGTGTGTGATCACAGCCTCAGTGCATGTGCATAGGGCAAGGGTGCGACCAGCTACTGCTGGTCTTTGGATGCATGCTTTAGAGGAGCACGCTGGTGAGGCGAAGTCACCTACGATGGAGGAGACTCCTCCATGGCTCTGGCTCCTGTCTTGTGCCTCACTACAAGTACACTTCCAGGTGTTCAGCTTGTGCTTCCTGACCCCACCCCCAAGCTCCCTTGATCTGTCGCCCACATCCTGGAGCCAGTGAGGTTGTGACTTTGGTTCCTCCTTTTCCTGTCACCTGATTCCAGTGTCACATGCTTGCAGCTCAGTTGGGGTCTCAGACTGGGAACTGTTGGAGCTCACTACCTTATTGATCATGCTCCGGTGTGACAAACCTCAGCATTGGGCTGATAACAAGTGAAGTACCCCCAGCCCCAACATTAATCTAGAACAGGGGCGGCCGAACTGCAGTTCGGGAGCCGCATGTGGCTCTTTCACACAGTCTAATTTAATGTTAATAAAAAGCAAACCTGCATATTTTCCAATAAAAACGAGTGTGTCATATTTGTTTGTATCTTGAGGCTCTCAAACATCTGACGTTTATTCTGTGTGGCTGTTAACGGTAAGCAAGTTTGGCCACCCCTGATCTAGAAGTCGATCTACCGCAGAGGTCCACATTCCTTACTTAGTTAAGACTGAAACACTGGAACTAAAATGTATTTGAGGAGGGTAACGAGCACTGCAGTTTGTTTCTTTTTTAAGTTTAAAAAGCAAAACAATCCGATGGCCCACTTCCCTACTTTATCCCATTTATAGAACAGTGAAAATAAAGAGAGGGATAAAGAAAATTTTTTTGAAAACAATAAGTTGAAGTCAAACCCAGGACTGAATCCAAAACCCAGTCAAACCCAGGACTGAATCCAAAACAGCCCTTCCGCCCACAAACAGTTTCCTACTGATAGGCTTCCTTCTGCAAGTGTAAGAGCACCCCAAATCCACCCAATTTCCCCCCATTATTGTCATTTAAAAAACAGAAGAAGTCCATTAAAAAACAAACTGTGTTGAGCACCAATGATAAATCCTTGCCATCTTGTTCACCTTTCCTATTTTGAGGAATTATCAAAAGCAGGGTTCTTATAGGAAACCAGATGCGTGTTATACTGCTCAGCAGGGGGCGCTTTATGTTTCTTGCAGAGGCACCCTGACATGAGGACAGTCGCAAGGAGGAGGAGTCCACTTATTGCACTCAAGATGGCAAAACTGGATTTGTAGCTGGGTTTGGTGGCAAAAGTAATACACGGCGCACGGCGCCCGTTCCAGCCGGTGGTCTGACTTGACCCAGCTTTGTTGGAAGCAGCGATGCATACCTGGTAGCTGGAACCAGGTTGGAGATTGTACAGGGTGTACTCCCTGGCGGTGGGGTAGATCTCCCCAGTCACCGTACTATTATTCAAGTTGCCTTTAAGGTGGTAGGTGAGCCGGTAGAATCTCACATACGAATTTGGGGCACACCAGCGGATCTCTGCTGACGTGTCCCTTATTTCAGACGCTTCACGGAGCCTTGGCGGTTCCGGGACGGTGAATTCGTCTGATATCCCTGGGCACAAGCAAGGAGACAACTCTTGGAGTTCAGAGCAAGGCTTTTGGAGATGTCTGCAGGGGTCGTAGGCACACGGGCCGAGCGTCTGGACCTCCGATCCCTCTTGATGACCTTCGTAGTCATATTCATCTACATAATATACTGGAACGTCAGTGGATGCAGGATTTGGAAGAGCAGGTGACTTGGTGGAGTTTTGCACTGGTGGTTTGGTCGGAGTGGAATTTGGCATGTTCTGTGGGATAAATAAAGCACTGGGGACAGGCGAAGAATCTATTCTGGTCGGCGCAGCTGTAGGCGTGCTCAGAGCAGAGTGGGACAATGTTCCTTCCGGTCGGACAAGATAATCTGCCGTGGTTCTGGTCGGCGCAGCTGTAGGAGTGCTCAGAGCAGAGTGGGACAATGTTCCTCCTGGTCGGACAAGATAATCTGCCGTGGTGGGATCGTGACTTCTTGGATCCATTTTGGTTGCATTCTCCACGGTCTGCTTGGCAGAAGTCTTTCCCAGGATTGTCGAGGCAGCGGTCAGAGCAGCCGTTGCAAGTGGGCTCTCCTGAGATCCGTTAACTGTTTCTTCTTTGTAGGCAAGCATATCTGCCTGTGTGGAATCCTGCGTTGTCAGATCGCCCCAAGTCAACGCAATGCTGTGCGGGGCAGCTGAACTGCTGTGCCATTCCTGGGGAAATGTCCCAAAGTCTGGCGGTGTATCTGTGGCGAATCTGGAGGATGTGCTGTAAAGGCTGCCTGTTGTGAGCTCTGGGGATGAATCGGTAGTTCTGTTGGACTGGCACTCATCATACAGCCTTGGCAGAGGTATGGATCTGGGCGCTACATTGTCTTCTGGGGGCACGGAACACATCGTTTCTGATGCCCTAAGATAAAACAGCAGGGAGTGAGTTATAAAAAGGGTTCCTTGGAGACAGAAATCAGGTGGAAATCACATAACTCAAATGGTGGCGTCTGTAGCTTTACTGGCTATACATCCCTGCCTGACTACTACAAGGTACCTGTATAGAAATATTGATTTCTAAAGGTTTCATGCCTTCCCCTGGGACGTCCTTCTGATCCCATGTTTCCTGTTGCCAGCCAACTGGCCTGCACATTTGGTCAGAGAGGCTCAATTGCCATGCCATAAACACACATTCTTCACACCTCTAGTGGGAAAGCCAGACCTGATGGAGCCTGGCCCTGCCTGCATGCCCGAAGTCACCGTACAAAATGAAGTAGTTGGAGTTTGGGGGTCACCTGACTGCAGAGGGTGGTCTCCATACCTAGCCTATCCCCACCCGTTGCCATGACCGCCAACATTGGGACACACCCTTCCTACTCGCAATTGGCTGAATGGCCACAGCTGATTGTGACTTTGAATTCCAAGTCTCCTTCCTGTGCCTACCTGGTCACACGCTACCATTGAGCATTACGTGTGCATCTCTGGAAAGAGGTGCTAATGTGTAAAACCCACATGCCAACTGAGATTCTGGGATCTCTAATCTCAGGCTGGAGAGGGATTAAGTAGAGATCCTGGTGGTTATCGTTCTGAATCCAGAGAGGGCAGTCTACCTCTCTGGGTGGCTATTAAATGTACTGAAAAAAATATCGGTTCCTCCCTCATTCCTGGACAGGCTTGGGGGCAGAATCTATACAGTACCCATTTTACCCATTTTACACCAGTAAAATCTGAAGCCTTCCTCTATTCTAAGGAGACTGCCTCCGAATTAAGGGGCTCTTCTCCCAGCAGAAGAGACACTTCAGTTGGAGGAACGCTCCTTAGGCTGATGGGTGGTTTCAGATGGTAGGATATGTTGGAAAATTTGGTAACAGTACTTAGATATTCAGTGCTTGCAATGGATCTTTGTTCACTGGAGAGGAGGCATATTCTTTCGATGTAATAATCTTTATTTCTAAAGGGAATGGTAGATGGGAAATCTACAAAACAACAAACACTTAAGACTACATCCTTACTGTTACAAGTACAACAACAGACTGACTGACCACACGGTTGGTAATGGAGATTCTTCTTTCTTCTTGACCCTAGAAGGAAATCACCTGAATACATTAACCAATGATTGTTAGTAAATAGGCTCCAGTTTCCTGGGCTTTCTCCCCATTGGCTTTGAGCCAGGTTACCTTCCAGGTCAGTCTGAACAAGAGCACACAGGGTAAACACATTAATCCTGTAATGACTGAATTTAGACCTTGCAACACACATATTTCCAACAGGATACAGGCCATCAATAATACCTCCAAGCCCGATTGTGACGCCTGTAACTCAGCACTGAATAAGGGACCAGGGACTGCCAGCAAGGCAAATAGGAACTATCTTTGTAACTCCATACCTCTGCAGAACTATCCTTTCTGGTTCGGAGAGCAGCCAGGACATCTCACAATGGCACTCCAAAGGGTTTCCATAGAGGCTGATGACCAGATTGTCTGATGAGCTAAGATTCCATGGATTTAAGGAACTCAAATTACAGCTAGAAGACAAAGAAGAAGAAGAGATTTGATTTATACACCAGCCTTGACTAGGAGTCTCAGAGCAGCTTACACTCCCCTTCCCTTCCTCTCCCCACAACAGACACCCTGTGAGGTAGGTGGGGCTGAGAGAGCTCTGAGAGAACTGCTCTTGTGAGAACAGCTCTGAGAGAACTGTGACTGGCCCAAGGTCACCCAGCTGGCTGCATGTGGAGGAGTGGGGAATCAAACCCAGCTCTCTAAATCAGAGCCCATCGCTCTTAACCACTACACCAAACTGGCTCTCCAGTAAGAGAAAGAAGTACAAAGTTAATTAATGTACGGGTTATAAATTTAACAGATTATTCTGTTATCCCCGACGTGCTTGCGTCACTTCCGTGTGACGTGCTTTGGGGGTGGGGTTCCCCCCGGGGGCCCAATCCGGCGGCGGCAGGGGTTTTCCCGCCTCCCGGGGGGACTTAGCATCCCTAAATGTGATCCAGCAATATCTTTTTCAACACTCTCAGAATTAAAGGGACAGGAGGGATTTTGTTCCATTCGTCTGAAGAAGTGTGCTTTGCACACGAAAGCTTACACTTTGAATAAAACTTTGTTGGTCACATATTAAAAAACAAATTCGAACTTTGTGTCTCTGAAATTGCGAGCAGTCGATCTGCTGTCTTATTTCTACCTAGTACATATTAAAAAACAAATTATGTATATACTTCATTTACACCCTGCCTTTCTCCCCACTGGAGACCTAAAGCAGCTTACATTGTTCTCCCCTTCTCAATTTTATCCTCACAACAACCCTCTGAGGTAGGTGAGGCTGAGTGTGTGCGATTGACCCAAAGTAACCCAGGAAGTTTCCATGGTAGACTCGGGGTTCAGAGACCTGTGTTTCCCGGTTGCTCGAGGGTGGTCTTAGTAATTCTGGGGCCCTGGGCTAAAGTCTAAGGCTAAAGCCCCAGAATTGCTGCCACCTCCCCCTGGGGCTTGCCCCCCACCAGGACCAAGCAAGGTACAGCCCTTGCCCCAGGTAAGACAGGTGGGAGGTACCACCATCAGAAGCTGGCTGCCCTCACCCCAAAACAAGGATGTCCCAAGCAGCAATCAGAATCCATCTGGCTGAGCCCTGGACAGGCAGGCGCAAGTGTTGCTAGCCTGCTCTTTTTCTTCTTTTCCCTCCCTCCATTGGGGAGGTGGGGCTATCAGGGTCTCCCAGCGTGGGGTGCAGGGTAGCTGCCCTCCTGGTTGCCCGCTGGCGAAGACCCGTCCCTGAAGATGCTAGTCTGACACCCAGACCGCGGCACCGCACTCTCTCTTCCTCCAGGGAACTCAGAGCATCATCTCCGATCATCCATGCCCCAATTTTCTCCTCACGCCAACCCTGCAGAGCCTTAGCCCCTTGAACCTTCACAGCCTTCTTTTGTTCATGCTCATATGGGAGTTGGGAGGCGGCCGACAGCAGGCGCCTGGATACTGATAGAAAGGCAAAGGTTTCCCTTGCTCGAAAGCCAGTCGGTACAGTTACAGCCAGACTAATAAGCAGGCAGAGGGAAACTTACTTTTGGAACATGAGAAAAGCCACCTTGGGGGTCTGGCCAAAGGACTCCGTTTCCACCTGGCTAAGGACGGGGGAATCCCGGCAGTTCAGTTCTTCCAGCTGGGGTGTATACGCAAAGACAGCCGCGTTGAGGCTTCTCAGACGGCTCATTTTTGTCAGATGGAGAGATGTCAGGCTGGGCAGGTCTTTGAGCCACTCAAGACGAACTGGGGGGGAGGGGGGGAGAAGGAATGTTTAACAGCCATTCTGATATCAAAACAGAGGAGACTGAAGGGGGGACTGACCCCAAGGCAGGGCCGTATTAACCCATGGTCCGGCCCCTAGGCTTTCAGGTATTCCGGGGGCCCTCTGGCACTTCAGTCTTTCACCCCACTACAGCTGACAGCCCGACCCTGGTACGGTAGGTACTAGACCACAATACATAGCTCTATAGCCATTGTCAGGGTCTCCTGAAGAAATCTATTTACAGTTTTTACAGGCTGTCTATGAAGAGAACATTATAATGCCCAGGGCTTTTTTTTGTAGAAAAAGCCCGAGGGCTCATTAGCACTTTGGAAAGCGACTTGGCTGCTGACTGACAAATGCTAGAGAGTTTGCAGGAGAACACTACTACACCACCACCACCACCACCACCACTACTACTACTAGTAGTAGTAGTACAAAGAAGTTTCATGCACTCAAACTACTACTGCTTTGAAACTGAAACTGCTTTGTACTGTCAGATCACTGATTTATCTAGCTCAATTTTGCTTCTTCCATGTGATAGCAGCACAGCTGTTATCTGGAGGGTGACTTGATGGCTCCATGGTAGAGCATCTGCTTTGCATGAAGAAGGTCCCAGGTTCAATCACCCTCCAGAGCAGCCATTCTCTCCAGAGGAACCGATCTCTGTCATCTGGAGATCAGTTATAATTCCGGGCAACCTCTAGGCCCCACCTGGAGGTTGGACACCATATTTCTGCATAGGGTTGCCAGGTGGGGGTTGGAAAATACCTGGAGACTTTGGGGGTGGATCCGGGAGAGGTCGGGGTTTGGGGAGGGGAGGGAACTTAGTGGGGTATAATACCATAGAGTCCACCCTTCAAAGCAGCCATTTTCTCCAGGGGTACTACTTCCAGAGTGCATGAAACTACTTTGTACTGTCGGATCACTGATTTATCTAGCTCAATTTTGCTTCTTCCATGTGATAGCAGCACAGCTGTTATCTGGAGGGTGACTTGATGGCTCCATGGTAGAGCATCTGCTTTGCATGAAGAAGGTCCCAGGTTCAATCACCCTCCAGAGCAGCCATTCTCTCCAGAGGAACCGATCTCTGTCATCTGGAGATCAGTTATAATTCCGGGCAACCTCTAGGCCCCACCTGGAGGTTGGACACCATATTTCTGCATAGAGTTGCCAGGTGGGGGTTGGAAAATACCTGGAGACTTTGAGGGCGGATCCGGGAGAGGTCGGGGTTTGGGGAGGGGAGGGACTTCAGTGGGGTATAATACCACAGAGTCCTTCAAAGCAGCCATTTTCTCCAGGGGAGCTGATCTCTGTCAGCTGGAGATCAGTTATAAAAGTGGGGGATCTCCAGGCCCCACCTAGAGGCTAGCAAGCCTATTTCTGCAGGCCTTGTAGAAATCCCCACTGCCTGGGGGTTGCCAGTCTCCAGATGGGGGCTGTAGATCTCCCAGAATTACAACTGTTCTCCAGGTTACAGAGTTCAGTTCCCACGGAGAAAATGGTTACTTTCGAAGGTGGACTTTATGGCATTATACTGCGGTCCCTCCCCAGCCCAAACCCTCCATCTCCAAAATCTCCAGGAATCTCCCAACCCAGAGCTGGCAACCCTACATGCCCCCCCCAGCCATCTGACTGTGCTTTGAGCGTCCCACCAAAGTTTAACCGCTTACCTCTCTCCAGTAAGGTTGCGCTGAGGTCAAGCATCCCAAGAGCACTTCCCACCATCTCGGTGGTGTCCCCTTGCAAAACATTCACCGCAAAGGCAGAGTCCTGAATCCCACCGCTGCCACCTTGTCCCAGCAGAGTGGAAGACAGATTCAGGGACCGCAGCTGAGGGCAGCAGGAGAAAGCAAAGGTCTGGATCTCTTCAATGGGATTCCCAGCCAGAGACAGCTCCTCAAGGTCTCCCAAAGTGGAGGCGTTGCAGGCCGGGACGGATGACAACAGGTTGAAGCTCAGATCCAGGGACCGCAGCCTGGCCAGGCTTCCGGGGGGCCCCCATGTCACTTGTCGGATCTGGTTCTGTCTCAAGGAAAGGGCCTGCAGGTTGGGCAGGTAGGCCGCCTCCTGGCCATTGAATTCCGGCAAGAGGTTGTTGCTCAGATCCAGATGTTCCAGAATCTCAGGCAAGCATGACGGGAAAGACAGGAGATTTCTGCTTTTCAGGTGCAGGAGGGTCAACCTCTGGGCCCTCAGCTCCACACACGAGAGGTTGCTGTTTGCCTCCTGAGGGTCCTGCATAACCACCTGGAAAAAAGGCTGCAGATCCTTCTGGGTGGCAGAAGCCGTCTGCTCTGTGGGCCTGGCTGGCATTCCTCTTACAAGCAGAAATACGTAGGGCAGGAGAAAGAACATGGCTGTCCTTTGAAGTCCCTCCAAATTGAACAAAATAGCCTGTTTTAAGGAAGCAAAGGGGAAAGCAAGATTGAAGGCGGAGAAAAATCTGCCCCTTCCCCATTGTTCAAAGCATAACCAGTTAAAGTAAAGAGCTAAAGTGCTCTGTGTCACACCTAGGATTGCCAACTTCCAGGTGGTGCCTGGAGATCTCCCAGAATTACAACTCCTCTCCAGACTACAGAGATTAGTTCCCCTGGAGGAAATGTTTGCTTTTGGGGGCCAGTTTGGTGTAGTGGTTAAGAGCACGCACTCTAATCTGGTAGAACTGGGTTTGATTCCCCACTCCTCCACATGCAGCTACTGCTGTGACCTTGGGTCAGTCACAAGTTCTTTCAGAGCTGTTCTTTTAAGGGCAGTTCTCGAAAGAGCTCTCTCAGTCCCACCTGCCTCACAGGGCGTCTGTTGTGGTGAGGGGAAGGGAAAGGAGATTGTAATCCGCTCTGAGACTCCTTCGGGTAGTGAAGGGTGGGGTATAAATCCAATTTCTTCTTCTTCTTCCTCTTGGCATTATACCAGGCTGAGGTAGGTTCCTCTTCAAACTCCACCCTCCTCAGGTTTCACCCCCAAATCCCCAGGAATTTCCCAACCCAGAGATCGCCACCCTCCCCAACCCACCTTCTGAAGGTCTGGAGATGAGGAGGGCTGGAGATCGCAGATGGGGTGACACTCTAGCTGTGGAACTAGGGTTCCAGGTCCCCCAGCCACCGGTGAGGGATGGGGGGTAGGGTTGCCAGATCCAGGTTGGTAAACTTCTGGAGATTTGGAAATGGAGTCTGGGAGGACAGGAACCTCAGGGGGGTACAATGCCATAGGGTCCACCCTCCAAAGCATTCGTTTTCTCCAGGGGAACTGATCTCTGTAATCTATAGCTTTGCAATAAAAGTATAAAAATTCCTGAATGCGTGTACTTCGTTGTTAGCTGTGGGTTCTGACAGTAGTCTGGAGATGAGCTGTAATTCCAGGAGATCCCCAGGCCCCACCTGGAGGCTGACAACCCTATAAAAACGTCTCCAGAGACCTGCTTTGGGTCAAATCTTTTAAGCACCAGGTGAAGACATTTTTTAATGGCCCTGGGCTTTTCACTAATTGTGTGTGTGTGGGGGGTTAATTTTGAATTTCATTTTCTTGTATTTTGAAATTCCCGAATAAACTCCTCTCTGCATTTTATGTTGCCTATTGTAGCCTGCTGGTTTATTTGGATCATTGTGTATTGTCTTAATTTGTTTTAGTAATTTATTTTATACCGCTTTGGACCTCTTTTATGGAGGAGTGACAAACACATTTGGTAACTAATCATTCAAAAATACTGGGGGGGGGGAAGCTAATAAGTGTGATTCTCTCGCAGAAAGGTTATTATTTTTAAAATATATTTATACCCTGTTTTTCTCACCAAGGGAACCCAAAGCTGCTTACAATGTTGTTCTCCCCTCCTCCATTTTAGCCTCACAACAACAGCCCTGTGAGGAAGGCTAGGCAGAGAGAGTGAGAGAAAGAGAGAGAGATTGAGACTGTTTGGCCTAGGGCAGCTGTGCAGGGGTGTCAAACATGCAGTCCAGGGGCCGGATGAGGCCCCCAGAGGGCTTCTCTCAGGCCCGCAGTGGAACTGGCTGTCTTCTGCTTCTTCTCCCAGTTCTGCTGCTGCTGCATCATCGTAAGTTTGCAGCTTACAGATATGCACCTGAACAGCATACTCAAGATTGCAACAGCACAGACATTTTGATGCAATAATTCAGAGCAGGAGGTGTCAGTTATTAGACACTGTTAAATAAACAAAAGGAGCTGCGGTGGCTCAAGTGGTTAAGATGCTGAACTGCAGGCTGTGGAAGGTCAGTAGTTCAGCAGTTCAAGACCCGGGTGCGGCATGATGGAGTGAGCTCCCGTCTCCAGTTCCAGCTCCTGCTAACCTAGCAGTTCGAAAGCAAGAAATTGCAAGTAGATAAATAGGGACCACTTCAGTGGGAAGGTAACAGCGTTCCGTGCGCCTTGGTGTTTAGTCATGCCGGCCACATGACCACGGAAACGTCTTCGGACAGCGCTGGCTCTTCGGCTTTGAAACGGAGATGAGCACCGCAACCCTAGAGTCGGATTCGACTGGCTTTCGAGCAATTTCAATGCAATGCTTTCAAGTCCTGTGGCTTAGGGATGTAAAATTATGCATGAAGGCATAATTTTATGTTACTTAATTGGAGGTATCTACTCTTCCTATTGTTCTGTGAGCATAGTAGAAAGCATGGTAGAAATTCACACAACTATACATTAAAAAGGTGAAAAAATACCATTCTTTTGCTACAGAGACTAGATAACTCATGAGGGGTACATGATGGCTGTCATTCATACTAATCTTACTGGTGGTGGTTATATGTGAGTTGCTGGCACATGGTAGATAACACACATTGACTTTTAGAGCACAGTACTTTGGGTGCCAAACAAAGCATTTGCTTCCAGTGGAGTGCAAAAAGTCGGTTGCCACAGTTTAGCAAGCAAGATGCTTGTGCCCACTTTTCACCTATATTGTGATGCTCCCCAGAACCCCCTTGAACAAATTACATGTATCTTTGATGCGGGTAGGAATGAGAATCCCCATTTAGGGCCGCTCATTGTTCCATGTACCCAGTGATGATTGATTTCTTTACTTCACTTATACCCCACTTTTGTCCATGATGGGGAAAGTGGCTTACAATTCTCCTCTCCTCCATTTTATTCTCAGAAGAACCCTTTAGGCCAGGGTATGTTGGACTGAGAGTGTGTCACTGGCCCAAGATCAACCAGCGAGTTTCCATGGGAAAGTAGGGATTTGAAGCAAGGTCCTCCAGATCCTAGCATGACACTCTCACCTCTACATGACACCAGGGAGTTGAAGCCAGCACAAGTGGCATGCGGATGGCTTTCATAGTAATCCGATCTAAAAACAGAGGGGTTTGAAAACGTTCCAAAGGAAGCAAAACACACGTGGAAAAGAGGGACGGACAGACAGAGCAATAGGGGCAGCAATGAGAATGCGGAAGAGGGACTCTGACCGCCTTGTGGCTGACTTTAGAAACTCCAAGCTCAGACTTCAAACACCACTATCTGACTGGGAACAGCCAAATCACCCTTTCAGAGTGATCTGAAAGAGTTTGTAAGAGCACAAGAAAATGAGGGCTTCGGGGTAGATAGCAGACTGCATAACTGGCTGCAGCCCCCCCCCCACTAACCATCAAAGGGGTTTTGTGCCCCCCCTTTACAACTGAGCTGCTGTTACGCTGCAACAAGACTAAGGATAACATCAGCACTGGTGTGGCCGACAGGTCCTGGTATGGGTGTGTGTGTGGGCTTTACAGCCTCACTGACACCCTTTAAGCCTGGCTTTTTTACTTAAGGTTGACAGCTTCCAGACAGGACCTGAAGATCCTTGGAATTACCACTGTTCCACGGCACAGAGATTAGTTCCCCTGGAGAAAGTGGTAGCTCCATAGGGACAACTCTATTATTTATTTATTTTTTTTGGGGGGGGGGGTTATGCCACCTCTTCAGGAACCCGGCCTCTGGTATATCATAGGTCCTAGGTGAAATCCCTCCGCAAGTTTCCCACTCCACAGGCCCACAGGCACCACCGTCAAATCTCCAGGAATTCCTCAGGCTGACGTTGGCAACCCTAGCTTTCACTTCAAAAACAGAACTCCTCTTCCCCCAAATGGCAGAATTCTGTACGTTTCTGTGGAGTGAGTGGTTAGGATGTCTGACCAGGATTTGGTTATAGGGCTGCCATGGGCAGGGGGTGTGGGTGCAGGGTTGCCAGATACAGGTTTGGGGACTCCCGGGAATTTAGGGATGGAACCTAGGGAGGACAGGGACCTCAGTGGAGTACAACAGTCACACAGTCCAGCCTCCAAAGCATCCCTTTTCTCCAGGGGAACTGATCCTTGTAGTCTGGAGATGAGCTGTAATCCTAGGGGATCCCCAGGTCCCGCCTGGAGGCTGGCATCCCTAGAAGACCGAACTTCGAATCCCCCCTCTGCCATGGAAGCTCGCTGGGTAACCCTGGGCCAGTCAACCTCTCAAGTCACCCTAGCTCGCCTCACAAGGTTGCTGTGAGGAGGACACTGATGTAAGCCAGTCTGGGTCCCCACCAATGCTCCCTCTAAGCTGTGGAGCCTTGTGAGCAAAAAGTTCTACTTTGTGAGCTGCTGGCATTAAAGCTGTGAGCAGGTGATTTGGCTACTGCACAAATCCGTTTGCTCTGGAGCCCTCCTTCCCGAGCTGCGACAAAAAGGTGTGAGCCAGAGGCTAAAGAACTGTGAGCTAGCTCACACTCACTCAGCTTAGAGGGAACACTGGTCCCCCACTGGGGCAGAAGGTGGGGTATAAAGTCGGGCTCCTGTGTTGCGGGCGCCTCAGACCCCGGGCTACAAATTGCCACCCCTTCGCCCCAAAGCCTGAAGGCAACATGCAATCGTCAAAGCCCTTCCCGAGAGTGGCTCGACCGTCACCAGAACTGACAGTTTTATTGTACAAAAGTACAAATGTACAAAGATATTCCTTCAACAGAAGCATGAAGTAGACAGAGAAGAAGAAGCAGAAGGAGTAGAAAAAGGTTGTTTTTTATACCCCATTTTTCACTACCCAAAGTAGTCTCAGAGAGGCTTACAATCTCCTTCCCTTCCTCTTCCCACAAAAGACACCCTGCAAGGTAGGTGGGGCTGAGAGAGTTCTGAGAGAACCGTGACTGACCCAAGGTCACCCAAGCTGGCTTCATTTGGAGGAGTGGGGATCAAACCCAGTTCTCCAGATACTGATTACAGCACTACTTCTTTTTCTTCTTCTTCTTCCTCCTCCTCCTCCTCCTCCCAAGATCAGGCTAGCCTGGGCCATCCAGGCCAGAGTCTTATGGTCGCCTTAAAGGTAAAGGTAAAGGTTCCCTTGCTCGAAAGCCAGTTGAGTCCGACTCTAGGGTTGCGGTGCTCATCTCCGTTTCAAAG